ATGTGTAAGAATTTTTCTTTTAGCTAGTAGCTATAGCTAATATAGCTAATTCTTTACACACTAAGTATAATTTAGGCTATATTAGCATAAACTAGCCTAGTATGTTTATAAAGTGTTATCTAAAGCTTAAAGTAAAGTTTAAGTATTGTAACAACTCTTATAAATTGTTCATCTTAGGTTGCCTAGAACCTATCCGAAGGGTCCCTGTATCGGCCCCGACGCTGACTCGACCTGGCCCCGACCCTGCCCTGCCCTCTGCTGTACCCCTATTCCCCTAAGTATTTAGTCGCACCTCTCCCCTGTAGCTAGCTTAGTAGTTTTCTATTATGCTTCTGTACAAGGCTATAGGTGTTAATAGAATTCCTAGGTTATTAAGTCTATACACAATTCTATATGCTTCTAAGTAGATTCCTACAGCATTTAGACTTATTTTCTTGCCTACGCTGTTATATTATATTAGAAAACTTACTTTTACTAGTAATAGCCTTATTATAATATTGTAGTAATTATTTAGTTAACTACATTTAAGCCTAAAACATGTTTAATTTAGTTTAAGTTATAATATTTACACACTGTTATATTAAACTATTTAGTTATATAAATAGAATACTAGAGACTTTTTATAAAATAAAGGCTTTAAGTTTAGAACTTTCTATCCTCTGTAATTAGAATTACCTTTAAAAAAGTTATGTAAAGTGCACTAAAGTAGAAACCTAAAGACTACTAATAACCTATTAGGATTAGAGACAACAACTAATGTCTAACTCTTAACTCCTCTGTTAACAGCTAAACCTGCCTTTATAAAACCTAAAGCTAGACCTACCTAATTTAAAGTTAACATTTAGTAGTATATTTATTAATAATTAGATTACTTAATTATAAGCACAGCTTAAGTAGCTAATCTAGCTAAAAACTACTAGTTAACCTCTACTAACTACTAAATTACTTTTAATAATGCTTTAAATTACTCTTTCTATTTTAATAGTAAAAGTCTTTTAAGCACTTTTAATAATACCTAATGCTACCTTACAAAACGCACGCCTAAGATTAATAACTACACAGATAGTAAAACATAAATAGTAAGCCTTAATTATTAATAAGCTAGACATTAATACAGATTAATATTAGAGTAAGCGCGCACGCATAGTGTTTAGTTTAGAGGACACTGCTAGCAGTGCAAAGGAATACTTAGAGGGAAAACACCTAGCTAAATTAAACTAGTTTTAGTTAAAAAAGGTAAAAAAATAAATTACTACTAATAAAAACTATTATTCTATAAAGAGGGGAGTAGTATAACAACTCTTATAAATTGTTCTATCTTAGGTTGCCTAGAACCTATCTAAAGGGTCCTTGTATTAGCTCTAACCCTAACTTAACTTAGCTCTAACCCTGCTCTGCCCTCTGCTGTACCCCTATTCCCCTAAGTATTTAGTCGCCCCTCTCTCCTGTAGCTAGCCTAGTAGTTTTCTAATATCCTTTTGTACAAGGCCTATAGGTGTTAATGGAATTCCTAGGTCATTAAGTCTCCACGCACTCCTGTATGCTCTTAAGTGGATTCCTACTACATTTAAACCTATTGTCTTGCCTATGCTGTTACAAGTATAAGTATAGCTATAAAAAGCTTTTTATAAAAATTCTAGTATAATTTAAACCTAGTTTAGCTTTATAAAGAATATTAAAGCTAAGTATAGCATCTAGAATAATAACATATATAACTTTAATAAAATAAGCTTTATAATAGGCTAGACATTTACTAACTATACTTATGTTTAAAACTTTACTTTAAGCTTTAGATAACACTTTATAAACATACTAGGCTAGTTTATGCTAGCATAGGCTATATTAGCTATAGCTACTAGCTAAAAAGAAAATCTTTACATATATAGCTTAAGTATGTACTTAATAATTACTTACTTTTTATTATTACTTAGCCTTTATAAGTTAGCTATAAAATTAGCTTATAAAAGTTGTCTAATGTGTTAGTTATTTATTATTTTTTTAAAAACTTTATATATAGCTATAGCATGTTATTTTAAAAGTGTTACATCTTATTTAAAATCCTAAAGTGTAAGCTGTATCTAATGTTCTTTTAGCGCGTCTAAGTAGTGTTATTAGGAATGCATTAGTGTAGAAAAAGTAGTTTAATAGGGTCTTAGCAAAAGTAAGCAACTTAGGTGTGTAAGCAACTTGCCTATAATGTACGTTATAAAAATATACTTATAAAGATGTGTGTATAAAAGCTTAAAAAGTAATTAGTAAAAGTACCTAAGTGTAAAAGGTGTAAAAGAAAAGCAGATCTAGTAAGGTAGCATAATAAAGTATTAGACTATAGCAGTGTGAGTAGCTGCTAAGGCGCCTATAGTAGCTTAGTAGTCTAAGTGAGCCTGTAGTAGTAGTAATTAAAAAAGAGCCTAACTAGCTCTACAGTAGTGTAGGAACTGTAAAGAAACTAGACCTAACACTTATACATATAAAGAAGAAGCTTAAGAATTAAATGTAAGCATGTTATACATAGGTTATCTATTTATTTATAAATAGTGTTTACAATGCTAAGAGATTTTATTAGGTTTAATAGTTTAGCAGGTTTAATAGTAGAATACGCTATAGTTTTACTATTATAAAATCTAATTAAAGAACATAGTTAGCCTAGTAAAAGTAATTAGTATAACAACTTATAAGCATATTAAAATTTAATAGAAATTATAAAGAGATAAGTAATAAAAAAAATAACTAGAAAATTTAGAACTAAAAGTAACACTTACTTTATAAGCTACTAATAGTATGTAGTATAGCTAAAAGAAAAGGCTTAAAACAATAACTCTAAAAACAAAAAGTAAGTGTTATAAATAAAAAAGCTATTAGCTGTAATAACTAAGTAGATGTTACTAAAAGCATGTAAAGTTTAAAGAACTAGTATAATAGGATTATAATAAAGCGTAGAGCACCTTAGGTTCTTAGTTACAGCTAAAAGAGTAAACGTAAACTTAGCATCTACTAAGAATATAACTAGAGGCCTAGTAGCAACTAAGCTAAAAATTAAAAGGATATGTAATAGATATAGATCGTCGACTTAGATTCTCTCTTTATCGTTATATTTAAATATACACTAGACACCTAGAATTATCATTGCTGTGCCATTATTTAAATACCTTGTGTTATACTTGGACGCACACGTCTACAAGTACACAAGCCTAACATCTTGTAACCTTCTCCCTTTAAAACTACTGTCTGTCACCTGACATACAATACGCCTCCCCTATCTGGTTAATGTGAGAGGTATCGAGCAGGAAACACAGGTCACAGAGAGGGAATGCAGGATAGGGGGGTAACAAGAGTAAACCTTAGGGTCGGAGGCAGAGGTACGGAGGCCGAGGAGCCTATATGCCCCGTGCCAAGCCCTTAGGGTACTCAGGGGTTGGATAGCTGTAACATAACCGTGACAGTTAAAGACAGAACACGGCAGCCTTTTTTATCTCCTGAGGACGAGGTAGAGATAAGAGGTAGGAAACAGTAACACCTTTGCCTAATCCTCTTCTCACCCCCCAGTTCAACCCTCTGTGCTTGACATAAACCCTTGGGAGGCTTCTCTGTTAACAAGACGTCATCGCAACGGTAGCACCTACTGCTCACTAGAGCCCTCTAAATCCTCTAAAATTGCTATATAAACTTCCTAACAGGGTAATACAGTCTGTACTACGTACTGTACCTAAGGCATCATTAAACGTACGGTACGGCTCACTTTGTACGGACCGTAGTACGACTCACTTTGTACGGACCGTAGTACGACTCTTTGGAAGCCCTGCAGTCGAGACGGGAACAATTCTTCAAAATACAGCAATTTGATCACTGTCACAAGCTCTGGGTACAGCTGATCCTCTTCCTTACAACCCATTTGTTGTGCTACAACCAAACGGTAGTGGAACTCCACTGTGACTAGTATGCCCTAATGTTCTTGTGTTCCTTGAACTACCAAAGCATATCGACCGTCCAGGGCATGCTCCTCGTGCGAAGGGGTTTCGCAAGGATTTTAAAGAAGGCCTTTCTCTGGAAGAGGTGTTTCAGGTAGATCCTGGTGAGAGCCTGGTGAGAGCCTAGTGAGAGCCGTCTCGTTTCTGTCCAGCTTCCCCCTGTCAGCCGCTGGTGTTGCGGATGGGAGCGAGAAGATTAGTGTACGTCCTCCGCCGTATCTGTCATTAAAATTCGAACTAAATGCAACCATCTTCGATTGTAATTGCTCCAATATAGTTATGAAGCTATCCTGATGCCGGAAAGTACTTGCGTAAGGCCTATAACGAAAGGAGATGAGTCACGAGGTCCGGTGAATATGCTTGTAAGAGTTAATTCAGTAGGATTGAACCGAGCAGCAGTTAGTAAGGTGAGAACTAAGAGGTATTATCGCAAGTTAGACCTCTTCCTCCACGCCGCCGTCACGAGAGCATAATCGTGATGATGGGCAAATGGAGGTAGGGTCTGGGGAATAATGCGCCATACTACTTTCCGCCGACGTGGTCCATCGCCATACCAATCCTCGCAACTCTCAACTCACCAAGGTCTGTTGAACCAATGAGCCAGAGTAATTGCCTCCCGCGTAGGGATGAATTTGAGAAAGCGGTGATGAGTAGGTTGACTTAGTCGGGATGACGTAACCGATCTGTTTCTTGTCCACCTGTGTACATGAACCACCCCATGCTCATGCCATTTTTCCCGACCCTGTGATCGGTTACGACTTCGCGAGACTAAAGTTCTCCCAGGAACGCCTTGGAGAACGCCTCTTTAATGGCATTGTTGACAACGGCTGCACTTGCAGCGCGGGAGAGACAATGACAAAAGACCCGAGCAGCCATAGCCACGCGCGGTACGTCGAGCTGGCAGCCTGCCATGTCGTGAGCTTCATCCAAGTGTCATATTCAATAGTCAAACGCGATATGCAGCTGCGTCACCAACCATCTCCAGACCATCGTCACAGCATCCCGGCTCGTCCTGCTGAAGCGAGCGACAACCCAACCTGTCTCCGTCCCTCCGCACAAACCCTGACTTTCACATCCGCCATCTCCCAATCCCCTCCGACATGTAGTAGCAGTTCCTTTCGACCCGTCACGACATGCTTGGAGCGGATGAAGACGGTGTGGCTCATCTATCAAGCATCGAAGGCCAAGAAGCCCAGAACGAGGCATTTTCTTGTCCCTATGCCGAGCGTGTTTCAAACCTTGTCGCCAGTTGTAATCTTGCAGCCTGACTTTTCCTTTATTATCACGAGTTGTTACCTCTAGAGTGAGAATTCGCAGCCTTACTTGCGTACTTTGGTCACGTTTCATATCATTTCTTCTCTTGAATACACCTTCACGGTTGTTAGATACGCACATTTTTTCTCTTCAATCACGAGCTCCACGGTTCCACATTCTACTCGGCCACAAACTGTGACGTCAGCTCCTTCAATTTCCTATTCGAAGAACCTCAACGTGTTGCTAGAATGTTGACCAATCGCCGTTCTACGATGATGATTCCGCCAGCCCGCGCGCCGAGCTGGCGCCCAGAGGTTAACCTCGAAACCGAGCCTCGTTGCAAAACTACATCCATTCTCACCGCAACCACCGACTCTCTACCCGGCTACCGTATCAATAAGGTCATCGGCACCGTTCACGGTATTACAGTATGCGCGCGCAAGGACACCAAGGCCTTTCTCAAAGCTGCGGGCACTGGAAGCGAAGCAAAAAGCCTGACCCATACGTTATACAACGCCCGCGACCAGGCGATGGAAAGAATGATCCGAGATTGCATTAGCCGGGGAGGAAACGCTGTAGTGGGCATGAGTTTTGGTGAGAGTGAGGTTCTCGGGTTCGCTCAAGTGAGCGTATACGGAACCGCTGTGTTTGTGGAAAAGGAAGGAAAAGCTGAAGATTGCTACACGCTGAAGTGATGTAATCGGCACGGAGGCGACTTAATTCCGCTTATGGGCTCGAGGGTTTGTAGATTTGAGGGTATGATGCGACTCACAGTTCATCCGGAATGAACAGCTAACGAGGTCGTAACGGGGTCAGCGCAAGTAGGAATACCTTTGCGATTACATACAGTAATACGGCGTTTACTAGCGAATTCCAAGTATCGGAGCGAGTATAGAAACTCGACAGACAGCAATTACATCATATCTCTTCAACACACATATCGCCTTCACTTCGTCCTCGCATTGCTTCTCGATCCCAACAATCTCAACGCGATCATGGCCACCAAGAGCACTCATGTGCACTAGCTAAGGGAAAACTGTGAGAGACCTTGGTGAAGATTTCAGAAATCCTATCTTTATCATTCCTTGCGTGGCCGGATGCTTAGCCCTCGAGCGCTCATCACTTTCCACCTGAATTTTGCCTCTGTATTTACACTACGGATGTCGACATAAATTGTTCGTTACGTTCTCTACTCCTTCGTGATAATATTATCATTCCTGAATTGTACCTTCCCACTACTGTAAAGTTTAAGCGACCTCATCTAATGCCAAAACCGAACCACCGGTCAAAAGCGCCAAGGGGTCTGACCAAACGGTGCATGAGCCGGATAGATTACCAGGTAGCAGTAGATCTCGTGTATCTGTCATATACGTACCGTACTAGCCCGACCGATCGGAACGAGCCGAAGGCATATGCAAGGGACTGCAGCAGTAGAATCACGATTCTGCCGTGTCCGTTCTTCCCCACACGTCCAGGGTACCATGCTGACCTTCTCTAAGGATCGACCTACTAAGCTACGCGAGTTACAGTCGAGTTTCTACTCCATTTTCTACTATTTTTGTCACCGAAGGATGTAGAAACGAGTTTAACGTGATGCCAAGAGAGCTTAGCCACCTTGCACTCCTCTTCGGAGAAACGCAAATTGAACCTACATCATGAAGGTACCACAGCCTCCACTTCATGGCTGCTCTTCGAGAGGCTCGGGTCCTAATTTTAGATCTCAGCGATCCTTCGGTCGGGGAGGATTTACATGCTGACCGGTCGGAGGTTTAGTCACGGAAACCCTGACACGAGGCACGCAGTCCCCTGTGCGGACCCCAGGAACAATGCGATACTCTGATTGCGGAGATTTATTGCGCTGGTAGTTGCACAGCTTTCGGGGACGCGTCCTTGAAATACTCTTAAATCGTAGTATCGCGTTCTCTACATCACTTACAGTATTAAAGTCGCATTAAACTTTGTAAGCCAACCTCCACCATGTCAACAACTCTCCAAACGATCAAAATCTTCTTTGCTTCTTTTGCAGACTACACTCTCTGGGACTTGGAGCTTCCTCACGACAGCATCTCCTGGCACCGCGATCTATCCACATAGTCGAACCAAGATGCACAAACCTTCCTCTTCCTCCACGATAGTGGCCAACACCCGACTCATAGACCGACTACCTGATGCGAAAAACCCGCTCGAGATGCAAATCCTCATCCTCGGCATGCCCCGAACGGGCATATCCTCTCTGTGCCTTAGCCTGAACATCCTCGGCTACAAGACCTTCCACGGCTCCATGATGAACCTGATCCCATCCGTTTGCCCCTCCTGGCAAGAAGCTCTCACTGCACATTACAATGGAGGTATCGAACGCCACGGTCATCGAGAATGCGAAAAACTACTCAGAGATTACAACGTCTCGTGCAATCACCCCGACACGTGTGTGTGGGAAGATCTGGTGAAAGCATATCCGAAAGCGAAGATTATTCTGACGAATAGCAATCCCGATAAATGGATGAGGTTGGCACAAGAGCCTGCGGACGAGGGTATCAAGTGGAAGTCGTTGTGGGGTTGGGTTGCGCCGTGGGATCCGGTACCACGTGCATGGTGGAAATATCACAAGTTGCAGCCAAAATTCCAAAAGACAGTTTCTCCAAATGGGAAGAGACAAACTAACCCTGGCCAATACGAGAGTATAAGGAAGGCCGTGCCTAAGGAGAGGTTGTTAGAATTCGATGTGAAGAACGGTTGGCAGCCGCTGTGCGAATTCTTAGGGAAGGGGGTTCCGCGAGAGGATTTCCCGCATGTGAATGATCGGGAGGGTTTTACGATGGCAAGGACGCAGAGGTGGTGGAGGGCTTTTCATTCCATGGTGTCGACGCTGCTCCCGTCGCTTGCAATGTGTGTAGGTGGGGCTTTGGGATGGTGGGTTGCGAGATTTTGAGCCTTGACTTTATGCCGTCTTCTGGCTGCCGTTATTAAGAACAGTGGGTTTTGTAGATATATATACCCGTTTTATAAATCTTCTATCTCTTAGAGTACGGACTCGTCTGCTATGTCGTGCATGTTTACTCTCAATTCTTGCGACCCATCTACTAATTTCTCTCTCGTGAACCATGTCATTCATCACGGAATGGGAATTCACGAAGCAACATCAACAATCAGGCCTACCTTAGGAGCCATATTAGAGCTCACAGGAGTCCCTGCTAATCGGCATCCAAGATTCCTTCTTCCTAGCGTCGACGTGAATTTCCTTCTCCAACGCTGGAAACTCACACTTAGGCACACTTCAAGAAGGTACGCAGAAGAGATGGCAATTATCTTGTAAAATACTCGAAAATTTCATCATATTTCTGAGATGGTCTAAAAAAGCGCCCCTCCAGACTGGTTCGCAGCAAGAAACACTCTTCTAAATCATCGAAAAGTAACCCTCCAGGGCGCAAAGGTTGCCAGGTAAGCTTGCTCCTTTGCAGACACTATCTTTCAATGGGTACGGGAGGGAGAAATAATTAAGTAGCTACGTAAATCCTCCAACGTCTAATGGCACTTATTCTCCCTGCCCTCCACACTCCACCATTCAAATACGCTTATCCTGACCCTGCATTAGCTGCTCAGAGCGCGCGGTGCACACCCCTGTCGATTTACGCCCAACCGTCATCGCAGCCCGCGCAAACGGCAGGAGCCGCAGACGTAGGCGAATATCCGTTTTGGAAGTTAGTGAGGGGTGTTGACAGGAACAGAGCGGATACGGATACGGCGGAAGACAAGGTTTCGAGAAGGGTGTCACCGACCGACGGGAGATGCACAAACGATGAAGGGGTACGTGCAGGAGGATAGACGTTTAAGCCGCGAACGGGTGGGGGATGCGGTGCGGTCGAAGGATTGGAGCTTGGTGAAGGAAGTGGAGTTGGGTTGATGCGGGTGCATGAGAATTTGAAGTGAACTATTTGGACGGTGCTCTGGGATTGCTGGGTGGCTAAACAATTCACTATCACTTCATAGCGAATATTGTTCTCTGGGACCAGCCTTTCCCAATTAAAAGGAAACCGTGCGCGTAGAAAAGGAGCGTCATCCTCCAAAGTCAAACGAACCCACAGGTTATCTAAATAATATACAAGAAATCGCTCTCGCTACACTCCAAAGCCCACATGCATAAATGGTTGGTCAAATCACATACTACTAGGACTCCCCCACTGTCCATCGCTTGGTGGACTTTGCATCTGCGAGCCTTGGTATTGGACAGGTATGTCGAATGCCCACGGGTCTTGTTCCATGGGCACCACAAACGGCATATCCCAACCTGGCGCTGCCATAAGGTCGATGAATGCAAGTTGTGGAACGGTGGTTGGAGCGCCGTAACCAGCGTGCGTACTCATTGAAGTCATTCCTGCGCTCGTGAAAGGAGCAGTCGTCATTCCTACATTCCCGTATCCAGCGTTTGGTTGCGGAGAAAAGGGTGGCGTTGCCACGGCCGAGGGTGTTGACGTTGAGCCTGATGAGCCTGGATGTGGTACCCTCTGGCCTGGTATGGGGGTCGGGTGCTGTTGGGGAGGAGACAGGTTTACCTGCTGGGACGTCGGGCTGTCACTCCCAGTGGCTCTCACCATTCTCTCGTACCATGTCTGGATCTTCCGAACTCTTGCCTCGTAGTAGACGAAGATGTCTTTCTCCTTCTTTCCGTCGGTCGCCCTGCCCACGAGAGCGCCTATTCGCAGTGCAAGGTGTCGGAAGACGTTTTCGATGTTTAGCCGGTGCCTTAGCTCTCTCGTTTGGGGCTCGACATTTGGGTCCTTGCTGACAATGGCGAACTTCGCCGCGAGTGTGACACCAAAGGAAAGCTGTATCCACTCCGAGTTGGTTAAAGCCATCTCCGACTTCGGCGGCAGCCATAGGTATAGGTCGAGGAAAGACTTTGCGGATTCAAGTCCCTCACATAGAATACTGAGATTCAAGGCGGGAGACTGTTGCAATGAGCGCTCGAAGAAGGCGACTTGGTAGAGGAAGAGCTTTGCTGTGTGGAATTGCATGAAGAGGAGGTCTAGAGCAGTCCTTGGGTCAGTAATGAAATTGTAGCATGGGGGGATGGTGGGGTGCGGGGTGCGGGAATGCTTACGGCTGTCGCTCACATCAGAGCACAGGTATACCCGGAACTCTTCCAGCTCCGATCTTGTGCGCAAGTAGGCCGCATGGGCTTCTGTCTCCGAACTCGAGGAACTGGACAATGTCTCTATGCTTTCTATGATGCGTTGGAGTCGGATCACGTGGTATAGATCTTTATCTGTCCCGTACTCGGCTTTCTGCCGTAATGAAAGACAGCCCTCCTCGATGTACTGGGTACAGGGGAAAGTGTTCAATTTGTCCAGAAGTTTGGAAATGCTGCAGCCTCGTGAGCCTTGGGAAGGGTGCGGCCATTGGCATAGAGTGACATACGTAGACGATAAGTAAAAAATGCCGGCAGCGGCTCTTTGCTCCTCGGAGCCCCAAACCTGTGTGGCCGGATCGATGGCGAGCACGTCTCGTTTCCTGCCTGCATTGGCACCTTTGCTGCGAATAGGTCGGCGGTCCAGCCGCATGTCCACTGCTATCGAGATAGCGAGCTGGAGGTACTGCGAGTAGTACTTGGATCGATGGTGGTATTGGTTCCTGTGCGAGGGTTAGCACCTGGGGGATCCCTATTACTATCCATGACGTGTTACCAGGCCAGCACGACCAGGAGGCCCTGCAGATATTCCAGCGATAAGCTGTCATCGCCACCCAGTAGTACCTTATCGCTGACCATGTACTTGAATCTGTCTCCGAGCCGATCCTGGGTGGGGAGATCGTGAAAGCAAGCGACGGAGAGCAAGGCCAAGAACAAAAAGGGCTTCTCATGCCGCATTGAGCTCCCCGTGACATGGGGGGGGATTATAATGAAGGGGAAATGGGGCATCATGTCGGACTTGTACATCTCAACGAGGGTGTCGGCCCGCTCGATTGTGAGGATATCGACGTCGATGACGTCGCCATCAGGAGGCTCGCTTCGAGTGTAGGACGAGTGAGGGGAGGCTACAGAGGCAGGAGGGGCGGAATCAGAGGAAGAGGAAGGTATTGGAGGGAGTGGGGGGACGGGATCGCGCGTGGAGAGCAGTTGCTGAACTTGGGCCTCAAGCGCTTGAATGCGCCTGCCGCAGCTAGTGAGTGCCATTTCAGGGCAAAGAGGGCATTGGGGGGATCATACGAGTCACGCTTCGCTGAATTGTCCCGCCGCCGCGCTGGACGGAATACGCAGTGTTTCCCTAATCGAGCGCATCTCGCTGCTATCAGCTGGATCCAGTGCGCTTTGCCTGCAGCTGGTGATTTCTTACCGGTCGCAGATATCGTTACGTTGCGTCCGATCACATCTGATCTTCAGCAGGAAGCAGTTCTGGCATGTCTTCGAGAGCAGCACCGGCGGCGAGTTCCCCTTTGGGAGGTCGAATGCCGCGTTGAGCGACATAGTAGGTGTGTCGTCTTCGTCGCGCTTCCTCGTTTCGGGTTGGGCTCATTGGGCTGGGGAAGGCTCGATGGAAGAAAGGTTAGGGACGTGTCCGCGCGCTGGAGTGGCAATGGCCTCGGTGATAGACGTTGACTGCCTAGGCAGGCACGAGGGGCAGCTAGGGAGCATGAGACATGCGAGATATGGTGGAACTGAGATGGCAATTGTGGGTGAAGGATGAACGCGATGTGCACATGCTGTATCTGGAAGCCTTCTGGAAGAGGGGCGCAGGGACTTGGCCGTGATTAGCCCGCCTCATGAGCTTGGCCAATCGGAGAATTGACATGCGGCTACGGATCCGAACACGCAAGCCTGACCGGGCTCGACAAAACATCCGTATTTTTGAGCGCAATGGAATGTACACGCCGTGTCCCAGCCCAAAACTTTCTCATACACTGGAATTAAAAAAAATGCCTTCAAGTGCGCGGAATAAAATGTCCGAAGAATGAAACAAGGCAGGATGCCTCACTTCATGCCTTCCAGAGAGCTGCGTTGAGGCGGCATTCACCCCTTCGTTTCTGTCTCATCCATTCCAGGCCCACAAGAATCTTATCTAAGGTGAGCCGCTAGCCCTCTTCGATTGGAACAGCTTCGCACTCCAGCCCCCCCTCCCCCTGTCTCCTTATAGACCCTGTGCAAAACCTGCTGCGGCCTCTAACTACACGTATTCTCTTGCATTGCCTCGTGCTAGTGAGCCAGCAGGCCGCCTGTCCGACTCAAACCTGCCAGCACCACCCATCTTGAACCCCATCGCCCTGTGCAGGAAACACCCATACAGGTCCGCATTGGCATCGAGGTTCCAGGAGATGAAGTATGCATCGCTGCTTGCGACTCTACCCACTTCCATAGCTACTTTCGAAAGACGATTATATCGGACGAAGTGTTTGGCCTCGTTTGATCGTGGCCTGAATAAACTTCCCTTTTGGGTTAGCAGTCTTGTAAATGCAGGGGCCACATCCGAAGCGTGGCTGTTTCCCGGCCTCTGCACCACCGATGAAGGCGGGAATACCCGCTAGGCTTCCCATCCCCTCGCCGTGATACGCCGTATCAATTGCGCTCCGCCGAGTGGGTCATATCCGAACACGATGCAGAGGTCAAAGCGGGAATCGGACCCGTGAGCATAGAGCTAGTGAGTACTGTAGGTCCGCATACAGAATCTAGAGGGTCTCGAAACTCCGCGCGATCTTCGCGTCTGGCTTTCCATTCTGCGTGAACCCCGTCACAAGGAGCACATTTCTGATAGAAGAGCTATTAGGATCAGTCTCCATAAACAGTTTTTCGTGCTTGTGGTATTACACAAGCGTCGTGGTGGTCGCATGTGAAGAATGTAACGTTCAGCTGATTGCAGCGCCTACCGCCACCATATTACCCACATAGTGTGCCCAGCAGGATCTATGGGCTACCTTCGAACCCTCACCCGTGGACATTCACACAGATAACTCATCCTCAACCATTGCAGAAGTGAGCGCATCCCGAGGGAACGCTCCAGTCACATCGACAACCATCTGCGATACATTCATATTCGCCCCTAATGCGCGTCCCAACTTTGCCTTCTCTTCCGAGGTTAGCAGGTATCCCCAGTTGAGAAGATGCACAACCTTCTCTCAGTCATTGTTCCGTACCAGGTTGTCGGGGAGATACTCGCGGTAATGTATGGTACCTCGCTTCCCGTCACTGCTGATTCATCACTCTCGTCCTCATTTACGAAAACTCTAAGTGTTTGCAGTTCCAATGCTCTGTCGGAGCTCGCCGAACTCCCAAGCCACTCGCATCCACCAACCACTTGCGGTCTGGCTCACTCTGTATATAGATCCCCTAGTTACGCTCCTTTAGCAATTAACTCGGTTCCTCATGGCTCTAGTGCCCCCAATAGCTTCACACTAAGACATGTATATGCACTTTATGGAACCTCCACGGCCGTTGTATTGAAATACCCAGTATCGAAATACCCAGTATCGAACATCCTCAACCCCAACTCCTCCATATCAACTGGATCTGCTGGCGGTGATTTATTGAGTGTCTGCCGCCCCGAAGGTAGTGCGCTCGATGGATAACGAACCTATCTTCCCAGTATGATTATCTAGGATCAAGAGGGGGCCATAGCGACCTTCGTCGGCACATTGCTACAGGGTCAGGATACTGAGCTGACAATTTTCTGCATTTTAGGCGTGGGATAGGAAAATTATGAGAAAGATAGAGTGGAGGAAACAAAGGTTAAGTGTAACGACATAAAATTTATCAACTTTAGTTAAGCCAAAGACAAGAATAAGCAATTAGGAACTTCCCCAGGGCTACCCGTGATCTTTGCGGATCAAGCAAAATATTCTGATAGGGCAACACCTCTACTTCGCTCCATTTTAACTGTTCCTCTCGGTCGCTCAATGGCTTTCTCAGCAATCATCGCGTTGTCCTACTTTTCCTATCCCGGCGTCAATTTTCCTGCATTACCATCGCGGTTGACAACGAGGTGCGATCAGCTAGCTATAGACTTCCGCCAGCTAGACAAAGGAGCTTAGGGACCAGTTACAACATCGAGACCTCGCATGAAGTGTGGCTGAGTACTATACCAACACCGTAGAGGCGGAGTTGCAATGATAAGGCTTGGTGGCACCGCCGCATAAATGTGCAGGGGCTAGTGAACTTAGTAAAACCTAGTTGAAGACCGAAGACTAAGCACAGAGCCACCACATCAATTTTAACGAGATATTAAAGTATAATTAACACCTCTTCGCGCACCAGGTTGAACACCCACATTGCTCCTTCTTGTTGAAGTTGGGACGCCGAACAGATGAATTCACACTGTCAAGAACTGGAGATGCACCTGGAGCCCCCCCGGCCTCAGCCAGCAATCTATATTCCAACAGCTACATCTAGCAGTGAGTTCTGGATATCGATATCCCCATTGACTTCCGAGGGTTCAACAAAACCAACTTCCAATTCTCCATTCCAATCGCAAGAATCCATCTTCAGGCCGATTTCCGCAATCTATGAGAATAAAGAGTTCCAAGATATATTAGCCCCCATTACCGATCAGAGTAATACGAACCAGAACCGTAGAGCATGGCATAAAAGGACAAGACTGTCGAGAATTCCAGTAATACCCCCGAGAAGGTCATCAAGAATGTCTACAATACCTCCAAGGACATCATCATTATATCGTACCTGGCAGAGAGAGTCAACTCAATCCACAGAGTCAGCACGATCAATAGAAATGCTAGACACACTAGAAGAGCAGAGAATGGCGGGGCACTCAACGACCAGTCCTTCCAAGGAGAAGAAGCCGTGGTATCATCACCTCAACCCTTTCAAATGATGCCAAGTTCCCGCGATACCGCCCGACCATTTGATATACCCAGGACATACTGCGAATATCTTGTCCAACATTTCTATCGCCTGGAAAACTCCCCTGATGGCAACCGGACATCGACGAAGCCTCGAACCAAACCACGTTTAGATTGCGAACCCCGATCGCAACCTACACAACTTAGCTGATTCTTTCTATCCTTCATGTTAGCACCGTCATAAAGCGTGGCCAAAACGACCATTAATGATAGAATTATACAACACGCTCAAGCATGGGTTTTAGCGTAGCACAATTTATCTTTTCGTCTTGTCTCTCTACCAGGTCATAGTTCCATTCAATCTTCGCTTTCTCCTCTCTTTCATTGATGATGCATACGCTACCTCGGTTCCTTACCAGCCTAGGTCAGAACTAGGACGGAAGTTAGGGATTGGGTTTGGGATCATGCTCATTCAGATTCTACAATGACTCAAAACGAACGAATCTCTACATCATGGGTTGATGGTTGGGGCTCGATCCCGCGGTGTCCTTACATCTGCTATTCTCGACAAGTTATTGAAGATTTCTGCGCGAGCTCAAGCTGAGGAGGGAAGATATTCAGACGGAGAGATTATTACCATATGTTGGCAGATGTAGCCAAGAATGATCCCGCCGCTAGCATTCTACAGATTATTCGGGCTTCTCTATTGGCGATCGCATACCTAGTTCTCCTCTTTATCAACACCGCCTATTCCCCCATTACCCGGGTTAGCTTCCTCGGCGATCCAGCACTGACTATTGCAGCTAAATCAATCGCTCACGTGAAGGAGAAAGGCAGTCCCAGTAATCTCGGATTCTCGTATCTCCCGCATGACCGAAGTCTTGTAGTCGATCTGCTATGTCACGTACAGCGCTTGGAAACCCTCAATACTTGGTATACTCAAATCACTTCGCAGAATGGAGACAAAGCTGGTCGCTCAGCCCCTCGCAAAAAGAAATGCTATCTACGTGATCTTGATATCAACGCCGGTACTCGCAGCTAAGCTATCCTCTGTTGTATACTCAATGACTGGACATTTCTTTGGAGTCGCACCTGTGTTTTCACCACTAGCAGTTTCAACGCTATTCGAATACCATAATCCTGCTGCCCGTAATCATTGAACAAATGGTGGATGCCAGCGGTGTCTTAATCCTATTGAAGACTTCCTTCTTGCAGAGGAACACCAAGAAGATATTCAGTCTGATACTGAAATTAATACTGGTGTCATATTGAAGAAGCCTTCGTTTTGTTTCGGGAAGAGTTCAAATACTGAGCAGCGGCCTGGAGGAAAGGAGCGACTAAAACCAACACGGATGCCGAAACAGAGAACAAGATGAAGTTAATTCCTTCTCGGCGGTTCTCGATCAAAGACATACATTTCTCCATTGGTTGGAACGAGCTGGCTGCGGTGATCGCCTCGGCTAGGACTAGCAAGACATCGTTCCTTCAGGGCTTTCCGCAGATATGCGTCAAACGAGCGGCCAAATAGCCATGGGAGATTGGTCGTGAGCTTTTCTTCCACAGAAATCCTGGGTTGGGAACCCCGCTGTGAAATAGAACATCCTCTTCGGCGAAGATTACGACCCGTGGTGGTTTGACGCTACGAAGGACGCGTGTTACTTGGAAGCCGACATCCATCAACTCGGGGCCGGAGACGACACGGAAATTTGAGAGCGTAGATTCAACCTAAGAGGAGGGCAGCGTCAATGGCTAACCACTCCTGAGCAATATAACCTAAAAGCGATGTCGTGCTGCTCGACGACCCTTTTCCGCAGTTGATGTTCACGTTGAATATACTATTTGCGGGTTATTGGAAGAGAAAGGTCGAACTATTCCAAACCACTAGCTCATCGTTTTCAGTCTCTGCAACAGGATTCCCTAGCTGGAAGATTGTACGATTCGGGCATTTGATATTGTTTGCAGTAGTCACGCATGCCTCACACAATAGTCATATGCTGGCAAGACTTACCCCTTTATTGCACGTATATAGATCCCTAAGTACACTCTTTTAGCAATCAACTCAGTTCCTCATGCCTCTAGTGCTCGCAATAGCTTCGCAGACACTTTTGATAATCTCATCCGGGATGGTTCTGAGTTTTGGAAGATGATTGCCAAGTAACACAGAGGGATGCTCAAGCAGTGGAGGAGAGCTCTTCTCTCCTGCTCGAAACTTTGAATGCCAAACCTAATCCCGTCTGCGGGAAGAACGAAACGAAAGATGGAAAGCTCATGAAAGAAGGGAATCGCGGACAAGGCCAAGTATCATGGTTTGTCGACAAGGAATATGGTCAGTTTTCTAGCCACACCACTTTAGCCTGGCTCCAATGGTATTCTTTCCCTCGCCCAAAACGGCGAACGCTATCGTACATCTTTGGCTCAGTTTCTGGTCGTCCGAGCGCTTCGGGTTGGCGCGGAACAACTGCATCTCCTCATACGTTGTTCTTGCAGTCATATCAGCACCCCTTATATTCGCCTTTACTCCTTCAGTGTTGAACTTAAGAAGTATTTCAAGTCGAAGATCTCTTGATCTAGCGACAGAAAGGTGTCCGTAGATGTTTCGCGATCCTCGACGTCTTAGACATATCATCACTCACCTGTCTTGACACGTATATTTTATCGACCACTAGTTTCCCGACGTACTTTATATATTTCTGTACTCCATAGTCCTCATTGCAAGTGTCATCGCGTTACTTATTATTACTTCCCGTACTTCGCAGTAGCTCTTACGCCTATTTTCTTTTGTTCCTCTCTGCGACTTCTTATTCCTGAGTCAGCGCTCGCTCCCTCAAACGTCATGAAACAGCACTCTGAGGCAAAATGTTCTCTGGATTCTCCGAATCTATATCAGGGGTATCTGTGACCCAACCTTTGGTCTATAGACGAGGTTCATACAAGCCCTGAGAGAAGCCATCGAAAACATGAACTCTGCAGTTAACGCTGGCTTGCAACACGACTTGACCTCGTTTCTAGCGTGGTGCTACCAGTAGGTTTGCGAGTCAGTATTAAAACCGTGGCTACGGATGGGCAAGTTTGTAATGAAAAATGTGCAGATGCGAAACAGGCTAGTCCTACCTCTTCAGACTTGTCAACAAGCAAGTTTGTAGCGTTCTGAAGGTCGAACTTGACTTGATTAATTACCTACTTGGGCTAGTGACTTTTCTATATAGTGTTAGTACGTCTTAAACAGGAATAGTGCTTCTCTCTGACAATAATCTCTGTCCAGGGACTCCTCTTTCAGGTTTAACGCAGTCCCTGCGCCTATCTATATCGGGCATCGCTTCTTGCTCCATCAACTCGCTGCTTTTGATGTCTATAAAATGCTCGCTCTACCCTTGCCAGCATGCCTCATCTCCTTTCCTTAATTTTCTTAATCTAACCCCAGCTCCTTTGCTGCTAAGTCATCCACACCTTTCTACACCTCGCTTACCTACTCTTCTACCTCATTTTTAATATAAGAGTCTACCCACTGGTACAGAAAATATAGGTTTTAAGTTAATAAAGTTATATTTCTTAGGGACCTAGCTTCTACTAGGGGCTCGTTATATGCATAATATCTAGGGCTGGGTAATCATTAATCTAGGCCGAGAAGTAAATCGTCCACGCCAGAAGTCATGTGCCCACGCCTGATTACCCCTTCCTGCCTCCTTTGTTCACCGCCAGTGAATAAACCTTCCCCGTGGTAGATGCTACTTTTCCACGTCAGGGATCGACTTACCAGGTCTGGAAGAGACGCACGTGATCCGAGGGTAGCCATCTGAGGCTCAGCAAAGGGCTCTTGCACGTCACAGTTGCTCTGATTTTATTCGTACTTAAGAGGACTGTCAAGGAATTACAGATGATAGAATTAAGCATGGCGCACAAAAAGAACGAGAAAGTGACCGTTTAGAGCACCTCATAATTCAGCCTTTACCTTCAGTTATTCCGATACCACCCACTTAATCTTTGAGCAGATCTTGTACTGTTCTGCTCGCGAGCCCACCATAGCGGATCGTGCCCCAACGAGTCTCTAGAACGAGCATCGACATCGTTGCGACTTAGGAAGATGTCAACTGCCCAGTTAGTATACCAAGACGTAAACTTTGATAATGAGGGAAGAGCCTCCGCTGCCCAGGACAATGGTGTTCGTCCACTATTATCTTTCGAATCAGCCTCTGCGCCGTGTTCTAATAACATTTTAACCGCATGATTGTCCCCGTGGCGATTTGGTGCCGCTGCAGCCCATGATAAAGGCGTTCGACCACTGTCATCCCTAGAATCTATGTCTGCGCCTGCTAAAAGTAGCGCTCCAACGGCCCGGTTACTATCAAGATCGCCTGGCGAAGACGCGGCCCATGACAACGGTGTTCGACCGCCATGGTCCTTTAAGTCGAAGTCTACTTCGTAAGCTAATAAGAGATCAACTACTTTGTTTCGTCGAAACTCTACGGCTAGCGATAATGGAGTTCTACCATGTTCGTCTCTGATATTAGCCTGGACCTCTTTGCAATCGAGGAGGGCCTCAACTACTGCATCTCGCCCATTCCGTGCTGCCCATGATAGTGGTGTTCGTCCTAGGTCGTCCCGGAAATTTGGTCGCGCCCCATCAACGGCTAATAGTAGCTTAACTACCGCTTCATGGCCATTTTCCGATGCCAATAGCAGCGGCGTTCGACCTTGATTGTCAATTGTTTCCGAATTCGCGCCACGTTCGAGCATTAGTTGGACAACGGTGTCGCGTCCACGCTCCGAGGCTCTTGCCAACGGTGTTCGGCCTTCACAATCTTTCGACTCAAGGTCCATGCCATCGCACTCCAAAAGCAGTCGAACTACTTCGTCCGCTCCTCTCACTGCTGCACAAGATAGAATTGTTCGACCCTCAATATTCTGAGAGTTGGCATCGGCGAAGCCTTGTTCCAACAACAACTTGACGGCGCCTACCTCGGCAGCGTTTGCTGCCCAAAACAGAGGTGTTTCACCGTACTCGTTCTTGCAGTCCACGACCTCTTGAGCGAAGCGGCGATCTCTCTTATTTAGAGCAAGGGACAAAGCGTCTACTAACCCATGTTCAGAGAGAATGTGGAGAAGTGTAGATTTCCGCGGTGCAAAGTAATAAGCATTATCATCAAGTAGGTGGCATAAGTCAATCCACCGATCCATAAGATCATTAGAGGGCCATGCAAAACACTCCAATAAATCTACTTGAGAGATACCGTATGAATAGGCTTGTTGCATATGATAAATCCAGTTTCGGACAGTGTAAGTAGCGAAAAGTCGGTAAGTCTCCCGGCCCCAGACTCCTTGAATTTGGTGGCTCGCGTTATCGGAGCTTTCTGAGATAGAATGATCCATGGATACATAGCAGAGGCATATTCGAGAAAGTGTATGGTTGGCCCGGCCAAAAGCTATCTCACGACTCTGCCATTGACTGCCCAGCAGTATTTGCAGACCGTCTTGGAAGAGGAAGTCAATAACTGACTGGTGGTTGAACTGCACTCTTTGGCCAGTACGTTTCCCGCGAGAGTCCACATCCTCTCTAATTTCGGCTAAGCCACGGGATATGGTTGTTAGTCTTCTTCCAAAGTCATCGTTGTTATCAATAAACAGTCCTTGCTCTCGATACCCTTCGAGCGTTTTGTACGGTAAATTCGGATCAATGGCTGTTGCGATTCGAAGCTCGTCGACAGACAGATTATATCTAGCGAAGAGCATCCACTCGAATACTCGGATGACTGTGGGCAGTTCATCTTCGGGTATTGCCCCCAAAAGCTCTCGATATAACTTGTTCAGATCCGGAGGGATGTCCTCAATTGCTTGCCGAATTTGATGCGGCAAACTACCCTGTCGGCGTTTTCTTTGTACGAGTTCAACTACAAGACGGGTCCATTGGAAACTGCCGGTTGCTTTCCCTATAATAATATTTCGTACCGTTGCCATGCTATGATCCTGTCCGAACGACGTTGTAATAAATGTACGAATATCATTGTCGTTCTCGTTCTCGATAACAATTGTTGCATGGTCTTCAACGTCAATGACAGGATAATGCCGGCAACTGAAGCATATCGCGATTTTAGTCTCTTGTGTTGATTGTTCAAGAATGTGCTGAAACTCGTCTACCATGTTTTGAGCGGTGACCTCACCACCTTCGTCGAGGGCATCAACGAATATGCGGACTGAGACTTTGAACTTCTCCGAGAGCATTTCAAGCGTAGAGATTAAATGCTTTTGATACTCCCTTATATGCCAGTTCCACGCTTGACCCGGCTTCCCGCGATTGAAAACGTGTTGATCAAAGTTTCGTAGCATGGAGTCTGCCGCGAAAGGCGCTCGCGACAGTATTTGATGGAGTATTGAGCGATAGAATCCCTCAGATGACTTTTGAAGCTCGTTTCCTCGGCCATGGAAAAAAAAAGAGAGAACGATCGTTCTTGCATTTGGCGCAGCACTCTCTCCAATCGACGTCTCAAGAGCATATTTCATCAAGGTTGATTTACCAGCACCTGGTTTTCCCCGGATCCAAAGCAGCCGTCGCTTTTGTTCTCTCCACTCTATGAATTTTGGGTGTTTGAGCAACCAAGTACAGGTGTCAATTGCGGCTGGGTCTATATCATGATGACGATTTGACATCTCGGCAAATTGCAGATACCGTAAGCAATCTTATGGTGTTAGCACATAATCGTCTTTTATCGATTGTTACGCACCGCCTATTGTTTCGGGCCTTATACGGTGTGTATTAAGCTCTCGGGTACGTTAGAATAAGTTCGATAATATGATGTTCATGGATTTATAACAAACCGAGAAGTTCCTTGATTTCACTGCGAATACGGCGATAGTTTCGGTCTAGGACATTTGGAAATTGACACATCGTGCGGTGGTCACAGCCATCCATCATAATAATTCTTTCCCCAGGAAGATTCAGGAGTGCAGATTGTCGACACACTATCTGCATAAGAGTAAGTATAGTTGGCAATCTAGAACGTTGAAACCATACCTCGGAGGAGAGTGGCGGAGTCGCACGCTGTTCCACGCAAGAGACGATTTGTATCTCCCCGATCTGATTCACAAATTCTGTAGCCATCAATTCTAGGGGTTTTGAGTCTTTGGCTAAGTCCTCAAGTAGATCTTTCCGAGTTTTACCGGTCCAGCTAGAACCGAAGTATAGACCAAAATCGACCAAGTTTGCCAATAGCTGTGGCCATTTTACGGCCTCTGATCCCTGATGGGGCGTGCCCATAAAAATTATGCCCTTAACCGATTGTCTCATGAAGGGATATTCACCCTCGGACGACAGCCTAGCGATAATGAAAGCCTATTCGGAGGGGCTTGTTAGGAATGGAGAGCATTGAAAGCCGACGACGATACCTTACCTTCTTAAGAACAATTCCTCCCATACTGTGACAAACGAAGATCAACGGTCTTTCCTCCTATATGAAAGCTTTATTAGAATGGGTGCAGTCAAAGGACTAGAACTAAGCCAATACTGTGAATGGGCAGCAATGAAGATGAGATGCCATGCTGAGGCGCAGAAGAGTATAGGGCATAAGAAACCGACCAACCTTTCCTCTTTCCATCCACATTATCCTTAAATCGTTAAGCAAGGATCGCGCAAAGCTTTCTACCGTCCCCTTCGCTCTCGTTGGCCAAACCCGGGCATCGTATCCAAATGAGAAAACTCTCACGTTCTCGATATCTTTAGGCAGAAAGTCACTTAGCCACAAGGCACCATTTGAGGCCGTCCAGGTTCTATAGGCATCGCCACCTATTCCATGAATAGCGACAATGTCCGCCCAGCCTCTTTCTGAGGCCGGACCCGAGCATTCATCTTGGCCAGTCAGCTCGATAAGGCCAATGGCTTTTCGAGGCATCGGTGACGATTCTGCATTCCGAGAAGAGTTGGAAGAATGGGGGACAAAAGCACTCGGCTCGGAAGTAACAGTAGGAGTAGGCAGAGAACTCGGCTCACTGGATCCAGCCTGATGACTTGGAGAGGCAGGTATGGCTTCCGAAGGCCTTCTCAGATTCTTGAAAAATCCGGAAAATGATTTCTTTTCTTTGTTCTTGTCCCTCGCCATGGTACCAGCGGATGCCCACCGACCGGCTTCGCCTGTGTTGCTCAGTAACAAAGATGCCTGAGGCTTCAAGTAAGGTGGGCTTGTTCCGCGCACCTATGGGCCTGGAGAGTGGCTCTGCGTTTCTTCAGCAAATGGATCACAAGGATATTGATGCTCATTCAATGATGGACAATGTTCAGTGGAATGTGTCGCGAGGCATACATGCTGGCCGACGGCTGGGCTGAGAAGCAGCTGAAACACAGCCCGACGCTAGTCCCTTTATGGAACCAGGATAGCCGCATACGCGCAGGCAGCTGCTCTCTGATCTCAAGCCGAAAACATTAATAATAAACCTTATTAGTAGGTTTATTAAGTGTTATTAAAGCTTAAAGTAAAGTTTAGGCATAAGTACAACTATAAAAGAGCTTTTTATAAGAATTCTAAAGTAAATTTAAGCTAGTTTAGCCTTATAGAGAAGATTAAAGCTAAGTATATAAGGACGGAGCTCTGTACCACTGCGCTAATACAACTAAAAAGGTGCGAATAATCAACCAACAGTTAATTGTTGCGTACAGAATAGTATATATACCCGTCGCACGTAAGCGCCTCGGCCTTACAAAGTAACGTACCTAACGGGTTGGCCGGCCACACGGGTTGGCCGGCCACTTTTGCCAAGCCCCCACTAAAACCACCCTATTCTCTCGCAAAACAGCCCACTTTAGCCCTGTATAAAGTAATACAACATAAGATATTATTTAGAGTCTACTTCTACTACTTGCTTACACATACGCAAGTTATGCCTAGTCTAATTGCACTGCCTGCATTACCTTTAACTTAGCTTACCTCCTTTAGCGCGCACCTGCGTCTTTAGCTTCTTCCTATTACTACACACTCTAAACTCCTTTAAAGTAGTTAGATAAGCCCTATTCTTAACTATTAAAGTCTCTTCTGCCTAAATTTACTTCCTTTTATATAATCTATGTTACGTAGCAGCCTTATTTGCTGCTTAAAGCTCTGTAATCTTATAGCCTACTCTATTACGTTAATGCCCTAGATAACTATTGTCTACTTCTTATTACTTTACTATATTGCTTTTAGCTGTCCTTATCTCTTTAAAGCTATAACAACTGCTCTAGTTAATATCTAGCTTATTATAAAGCTTAACTTATTAAAGTTATACTTATCTTTATTCTAGATACTGTACTTAGCTTTTATGTTAGCTACTAGGCAAAACTAGCCCTAGATAACCTCTAGATTTTTATAGAGCGCTCTTTTATAATTATACTTATAATTAAACTTTATTATAAACTTAGGGCAGTGCTTAACCTACATACTAGTCTAGTTTAAGCTAACCTGGCCTAGATTGCGCTCTGTAGGCAAGGAATTAGCTATATTAGCTACAGCTGCAAGCCTAGGGGGAAATCTGTGTGTAATAAGCTTAAGTATGTACTTAATAACTACCTTTTTTTTAAGCTTAGTTAGATTCCTTAATTTAGGCCAGCATTCTGCTTGTAAAGGCTGTCTAGCGCGTTAATTGCTTAGTGTTGTGTGAGAGACATTATAGATAGCTGCAGCGCGTTGTAAGAAGAGTTTTAAGTCTTGTTTAAGAGCCTAAAGAGCAAGCTATATCTAACGTTCTTTAGAAGATTTAATCTAGTGTTGTTGTTAAGGCATTATGTAGATAGGTAGAGTTTGGTGGGGGCTTGGCAAAAGTGGCCGGCCAACCTGTGTGGCCGGCCAACCCGTTAGGTACGTTATAGCATTTAAAATAATAACATATATAACTTTAATAAAATAGGCTTTATAATAAGCTAAATATTTACTAATTATACTAACACTTAAAATTTTACTTTAAGCTTTAAATAACACTTAATAAATATACTAAGCTAGTTTATGCTAATATAGCCTAGACTATAGCAAAGAGTTAGCTATATTAGCTATAGCTGCTCGCTAAAAAGAAAATTCTTATATATTTAGCTTTAGTATATAGTTAATAATTACTTACTTTTTATTATTATTTAGCCTTTATAAGTTAGCTATAGAATTAGCTTATAAAAGTTATTTAGTGTGTTAGTTATTTATTATCTTTTAATAGACTTTATACATAGCTATAGTATATTACTTAAAGAGTGTTATGTCTTATTTAAAAGCCTAAAGTATAAGCTATATTTAATGTTCTTTTAACATAGTTAAGTAGTGTTATTAGAAATGCATTAGTATAAAAAAAGTAGTTTAGTGTAGCCTTTGTAACAATTCTCATGAATTGTTCCATCTCGGGTCGCCCGGAACCTATCCGAAGGGTCCCCGTATCGGCTCCGACCCTGACTCGACCTGGCCCCGACTCTGCCCTGCCCCCTGCTGTACCTCTATTCCTTCATGTATTTAGTTGCACCTTGCCCCTGTAGCTAGCTTAGTAGTTTTCTAATATCCTTTATACAAGGCCTATAGGTGTTAATAGAAATTCCTAGGTTCTAAGTCCCCACGCACTTCTATATGCCTCTAAGTGGATTCCTACTGCATTTAGATCTATTGTCTTGCCTGTGCTGTGACATTATATTAGAAAACTTACTTTTACTAGTAATAGCCTTATTATAATATTACACTAATTATTTATTTAACTATGTTTAAGCCTAAAACATGTCTAATTAAGTTTAGGTTATAATACTTACACACTGTTATATTAAACTATTTAGTTTATAAATAGGATTCTAGAGACTTTTTATTAACTAAAGCCTTTAAGTTTAGAACTTTTTATCCTCTATAATTAGAATTACTTTTAGAAAAGTTGTAAAAAATGCGCTAAAGTAGAAACTTAAAGACTACTAATAACTTATTACGATTAGAGATAACTACTAATGCCTAACTTTTAACTACTAGCCTTTAACTACTAACTACTACTTTATTAATAGCTAAACCTGCGTCTGTAGAACCTAAAGCTAGACCTACCTAATTTAGAGTTAATCTTTAGCAGCTAATCTAGCTAAGACTGCTAGTTAACCTCTACTAACTACTAAATTACTACTAATAATGCTTTAAAATACCTCTGCTACTCTAATAGCAAAAGACTTTTAAGGCACTTTTAATAATGCTTAAATGTTACTACACTAAACACACGCCTAAGATTAATAACTGCATAGATAGTAAAGAATAAAGAGTAAGTCTTAATTATTAACAGGCTAGATATCTATATAAATTACTATTAGAGCAGGCGCGCACGCATAGCGTTTAGTTTAGAGGATACTGCTAGCAGTGTAAAGGAATATTTTAGAGTAAGAACACCTAGCTAAATTAGACTAGTTTTAGTTTAAGAAGGCAGAGAACATAACAGTAGTACTTTATACTATAATTACTACTAATAAAGACTATTAGTTTATAGAGGGGGGGGTAGTGTAACAATTCTTATAAATTATTCTATCTTAGATTGCCTAGAACCTATCTAAAGGGTCCCTGTATTAGCTCTAACCCTAACTTAACCTAGCTCTAACTCTGCTCTACCCTCTGCTGTACCCCTATTCCTTTATGTATTTAGTTGCACCTTGCTCCTGTAGCTAGCTTAGTAGTTTTCTAATATCCTTTGTACAAGGTCTATAGGTGTTAATGGAAATTCCCAGGTTCTAAGTCCCCACGCCCTCCCATATGCCTCTGAGTGGATTCCCACCGCATTCGGACCCATTGTCTTGCCTGTGCCGTTACAGCCTTAGTAAAAGTAAGTAACTTAGGAGTGTAAGCAACTCGCCTGTAGTTTACGTTAATAGTATTATATATAAGTGTAAACTACTGTTATATAACTATAAGATTCTTACATAAAGCTTTTATATAGTTATAATTATAACAAAAAACATAATTTAAGCTTTATAGTGCGATTAATAAAGTTTATAGTTTATTTTACACTAACATATTCTAACTTAGCTTAAACATAATAGCTTTATAGTTTATTAGCTATATCTTTAATAACTTAAAGTAAAAAGGAAAATCTTTATTAGCAAAGCTAACTTTACTTATATATTTAGTTTCTAAGAACGCTAGTGTAACGCTTCGCATGAATTGTCCATCTCGGGTTGCCCGGAACCTATGTCCGAAGGTTCCTCGTATCGGCCCCGACCCTAACCTGGCTCCGACCCTGCCCTGTCCCCTGCTGTACCTCTATTCCCCTAAGTATTTAGTTCTACCTCCTCTGTAGCTATCTTATTAGTTTTCTAATATCCTTTGTACAAGGCCTATAGGTGTTAATAGAATTCCCAGGTTTCTAAGTCCCCACGCACTCCTATATGCCTCTAAGTGGGTTCACACCGCATTTAGATCTATTGGCTTGCCTGCGCCGTTACATAATCTATCTTACACCCCTTTTAACAACAAGCATCTTTCTAGCTTGACTGGAGAGGACTGTACACCCGCCCCGAACTAGTCAACAGAGGTAACGTCGACATAAACCCACTCCCACACCTGAGATCAATCAATTAAGCAAGCTGGCAGTTTCTGGCTTAATTAATTGCGTTTTAGTATAAGGTTTAGCTAGATTAATTAAATTAGCTTAGCAGAAAGTTACTAGCTTAATTAGTAGCTTAAGTGCTTAATTTCTAAATAAGAAAGTTATATATATTTTTTAGTGTTAAGTTTTAGCTGTTGTTCTATGTATCTAGATTGTTGTCTTTGCCTACCTACTTACTAAGCTTGTACAAAACGTCTATCTGCTTATTAGTAAGCTTTAATTAGCCTATATTATTATTATTGCTGCTACTAAAACTAGCCTATCTCTATTATTATAATAAGTGTAGTGCTGCAAGTAGCTTAGGTAATATATAGTGTTAGTAAAGCTCTAGTAGATCTCTAAGCTTACTAAAGACGCGCTTACACTTACAGCTTAAAGCTAGTATAAAGAGTATTATAAGCGCTATTTTACTAAGGTTAGGATATTAATCACGCAGCCTAAACTAGTATTATATAGAATTAGTGCCTTTGCTAATAATTAGCTTACGCTTCTACTACTTATACTTATCCTTCTTAGTATTACTACATGTAAGATTAATAATACTATTAATTATATTATTAATATTACTTAGTTTTTTTAGTGCGTGTGTGTAGCAAGGCCTTAGTAATAGTAGCAACTTGTAATCTACCTATAGTGCCTAGAAATTAAGATTATTAGATGCTAGCTAATTAAACTTTTTAGCTTATACTTAATTACAGTAGTATTTATAGTAAGGATAGAGTATTATAGTAGTATAGTAAGCTAGTAAGTTGTTAAGTTTAGTATAGTACTTGTTTACTTTAAGCAGCGCTGTGTGTAGATTAATAGGAAAATAATCTTTAAGCGCCTTATTATAAGCGTTATAGACTATACTATTATAGTAAAGAAGGCAAGCTTCTAATTAAGTAAGTAAAAACTTAAACATTAAGATTTCCTTAGTAATTACACTAAAGCTATACTTACTATGTCTTTTAAAGCGCTTTATACACTTTTTAAGTAGCCTAAAAACCTTTATATAGTTAGTAATAATAGCCTAATTAGTAGCTATAAGGCTGTCTAATCTTATCTACTATAGAGCAGTAGGCTAATCCTTGCTCTATAAGTTAGCGTAGGTATCCTCTTTTGCTATATTTTATATGTAGGTGTTTACATACATGTTAATAGCTAGCGTAAGCTTTATAGCTTACTTAAAACAGTTAAAGTATAAGTTCTAGCGTGTAACTACTAGCTTAATTAGCTGCAGTATTATAAGCTTATTATCTGTGTTATAAGGCAGCTTATAGTAAGCTGTACACTGCGCCTTCTTAAAGAGATTATACTACTGCAGTGTGTAAATATAGTTAACAATATTAAAAAGTACACCTAAAGGTCTATGCTTTTGCTACTTTTTTATAAATGCTACTTTGTTAGCAAGCTTATTAACTTTTTTATTATTATATAAGTCTATATCTCTGCTCTAGAGCAGTCTCTGCTTAATTAAATTAATTATATAAGGGCTATAGTAAAGGCGTTAGTAAATAGAATTAAATTTAAGCTTATAAGTAATTATAGTAACAGTAGTGTTATTATTAAAGGCATTATTAAAAATAAAGTAACTAAGTGTGTGCTTACTTATACTAAACTACTTTAATATTAATAATATAACCTTAGCTAGTTAATTACTAGTGTAAGCGCCTATAAGCTAAGGCAGCGTAATAGGTAGGTCTTAAAGCTTGCTATCTAAGTTAATATAGTAGGCAATAATACTAAGAAACCTGCGCTTGCTAGCTTTTATTATTTATTTGTTAAAGCTTATATTAATCCTACTAAGTAATTATAACAGCTTATAAATAACATAAGGCCTAAGCTAGTTAAATAGTTATATAACATATTAAAAGACACTTTTGTAGTTCTTCTATAGCGCTACTTTAGCAAGTAGGTTAGTAATAGTAATTAAGTGTTAAAAAGCTAGTGTTTTAAACTTAAAGATAAAGTAGTTATTTATAATAAGCTAGTTAACTATAGTAAACTTAAAGTGCTACTTACTAAAGCTGTTAATCTAATTAGCTACTACTTATAAGATAAAGACTTTTATAGTAATAAGCATGTTATAAACACTAGTAATTAGAGTTTTGCCTAGTGCTGTAAGCTTATAGCTAGGCTTCTGCTTACTAAGGTAGCACATAGCTAACAAGACTACTGCGCTTATATTATATATCCTAATACTAATATTTATAAGCTTATGCTTAAAACACTAGTAGCAAATAAAAAATATATAAGTTAGATTTTTAAAAAAAGCAACATAATAGCTATAGCAATAGATCTAACTTTACTTATATTAGTGCGTTGTAATAAGCTTTATATACAGCTTAAGATAATTTTAATTTATGCTATTATAATTATTTTTAAGATAGGTGTTAAAAGCCTTATTTACAGCATTATTAGCTACTTTAAAAGATAGAGCAAGTGTAGCTTACTTACTACTTTTAGTAGGCATAATAATAGTGTTTTTAGGCTGCAACTTGCGCAATTACAACTTAAAAGTATGTGTATATAAAGGTAGCAGAGATAGGGCAGATAGCTAAAATTAAAATAATAGTAAGTTAATTATAATAGGCTAGCTTACAGTGCTGCGCACGCGCTTTTTAGGCAAGGGAGCGCTATTAGAGATACGTTTCTTAGGCGGCATGAGGGCGACAATAGGGTGAGGTATACAGCAATAGATCTGCAACACCAGAAGTATATAGCATTATAGGTGATAGATGGAGATAGAGTATATAATATAAGACAACATGCTAGCTGCTAGTTACACAGAGTTATTAGATATTACATAATACTACATAGTAAACAATACTAAAAAAAGTTTAGTATAGAGCTTTTATAGCTATCTAAGCTGCCTTATAAGCTGCCTTATTTTTAAAATCTACTATATACTTAAGGTAATTAAGCTATTAATCTAAATTAAGCTTATAGAAAAGCTTAGCTAGATTAATTGCGTTTCTATATAAGGTTTAGCTAGATTAATTGAATTGGCTTGGCATCAATCTTCCAATCAAGCTATCAAGCTGGCTTGATTGATCTCAGGTGTGCCCACTCCTCCACCTCTCCCTTCCCTACCCTCAGATCTAAGGTCACCGTTACCAGATCTACCTTAAGGTAAGACTCAGGTGAGATATCGTAACATAATTGTAGATTTCTAGCCGTGATCGCTAGCTAAGACTAGCAATTGCGCCATATCTTTCCGGGATTGTCACGTGACTTCCCTGGTCCGGGCCCGCGCCAGGGTCGGACCATCCTTCTTCTGTGGGGTTGGCGGCGCGGCATGTACCTCGTCCTGTTAGTGGTCGTAACGGCTTGTCGCGCGAGAGGTATTAATGAGAGGGGGGTTGGATAGAGTTGACATTAATGTGGGACAAACAATGTGAGGCGTTGATGCAGCTGGAAACAGAGGTACCTGCAATTCTATACAAGATTATAGGTCTAGGCGTATTTTTGTCATTTGGGAGGCCTGACAGATAACCCTGGTAGGACCCCTGCAGTGCGCGGGCCATGTACATTACATATGCCTGATGCTATAGTATACATATCTCAGCTCGCTCCTTGGCATCACTTATCTTAGGCTTGGTCATCTCTGAGCTTAGCAGCACAGCGAATCGCAGGACACATCACCCGCCCCGGTTTTACTTATTGGTGATCTTCGGGATCTGTAGGCTTAAACTGCATGCGAGCTCTGGTTTCTTTGTCACATAACTACACCCAATAACGCGCAAAAGAAAGGGTTCCAAAGGGAATAGAGTTTGAGCCTGGGGCTTCAGCTAAGGGTAATCCCATTCAGCTTGGAACGCCTTCGTTCAGCAATGCAAACCTTTGAGCATTTAAGATATAATATGAACGCTAGCTGTCCCGCCTACACGGCCAAGTCGTATCTATTTATTGTCCTATCGAAGAAACTACATTCGAATCAAACGCTTGAACAACGACATCACTCATTAAGATGTCTACACATTGGAAGAGCTTGGGCGTAAAAATCCACGGACCCCCCGTAGTAGTCTCCGGTGACGACAACCGCATCGATATCTTCTACCAAGGCTCCGACATGAAAATATATCACAAGTGGCGCGTCAACAACGTGTGGTATCCTATTGGAGAGCCCGCCGTGAAGAGAGGTGACGAAGCTGGCAACGGTATTTCGGCCGTCGCCAGAGGACCTCGCTCCTTCGATATCTTTGCGCGTTCCCAAGGCACTATCTGGCACTTGCAATGCGAGAATGACATCTGGAAAAGCTGGGAGTCTCTCGAGGGTAATGCAGTGGACAAACCTGTTGTGGTTTCGTGGGGCACCAAACGGCTCGATGTATTCGCTGTATTTGCCGACCAGAATGTATGGCATAGAGCATGGAATGGAGATGAATGGCAACCTTGGGAGTCCATTGGAGGCAATGTCATTGGTCAACCCGGCGTAGCTGCTTGGGGTCCGAACCGTTTGGATGTCTCTGTCCATGGCCTCGATAATCAGGTTCACCACAAATCGTGGGATGGTAGCAACTGGATCCCTTCCCAGACCGGATTCGGCCCTCTCAGCGGAAAGATCAAGGGAAACTTGCTCGAAATCGCCGATATGCCGGGCCGACTTGCCCTCTATTGCTTGGGCTTTAACAGCCCACACGGCGTTTTCACCAAGACATTCGGAGGTGGGACTTGGCATCCCCCTTCGAACACATGGATCCCATTGGGAGGACAATGTGTTGATAGTGGACCACACGGAGTCTCTGCCAAAGAAGGCCTTCTGGATTTGGTCATACGGGGTCCCGACAATTCTATATGGCATAAGGGGTACAACGGTGTAAATTGGGTGCCAGGTGGCGAGAGCTGGACCTCATTGGGAGGATCGATGAGCAGCCCACCAGTGCTAAGTCCCAATGGTTCAATTAGGCTCGAGGTATTTGCGCGTGGAACGAATGGAGATTTAATGCATTATAGCTAGGTGAAATGAGCCACCGAGGGTCTCGAGTATGCCTTCAAATTTCGTCAGTAGTTAAGCTCATTCCTATAGCTATAGCGTATTGCTAAGAGAGTATCGCGTCTTATTTAATAGCACGAAGCGCAAGATGTAATTAAGCCTCTTTTAGTTCTAGTAGCTTATTCTATTGCTAAGACTTCGCGATTATACTATCGTTGATGGTACATTTTAGTAGGGTCTTGGCATAGTGATTAGCTTGCCCGTGAGGTACGTTATGCAATTTAGCTTGGTGAGGCAGGGTTGCAAAGTAAAAGCAGTTTCTAACACTTGAAAGAACAGTTGACGACGTAATCAACATTGGTGTATTTTTTAAGCTATAAACTATATCTTAGAGAGAGATATACAGTGCGTGTGAAGACAAGCACTGTCTCTACTACCGTATCTGTGTCAGATTGAAGCACTGTTTCTGGGCTTCCTGAGATGAATGATGGGTTTTGGATATGATGTATGGGATGATGATTGATTGTATTGATTGATCGATATTTTTTTTTTTTGTCTGCTCTGCTCGTGTTGCTCGGCTTTGTTTTCCGGTCCGAGTCCCTCGCGCACTAGCCCTATGCGCGACCAGCTTGCAACATGCTGCAATTTGTTGCAAAATATTGCAAAATGCTGCAACATGCTGCAATTTGTTGCAAAATATTGCAAAATGCTGCAACATGCTGCAATTTGTTGCAAAATATTGCAAAATGCAGCAACATGCTGCAATTTGTTGCAAAATATTGCAAAATGCTGCAACATGCAGCAATTTGCAGCAACATACTGTTCGAGCTTATTGCTCGTACTATGCAGCAGCTTTCGCCCAGCGTTCCTCCTGTCTTGACAGTAGGTGCGCATATCTGACACTTAGATAATTTTGCAGGTTAGGCGAGATTTGTGCGACTAGGCGCACTGACCATGCTGGGTCGGCTTGGCAAACCGACCAGGTCAGCCCACCTGTAGTCTCTAAAAAAAACAGTTGCACAAAGATGAACTGTTTATACACCTAGCGATGATGATATTGAGGAATGTCTAGTGTCCCCGAGGTCAATACCTGTTTCGGCTTGAAAGATATAACAAACAGCCTGCGAGTAGAGTAGATCGGGCGAGTGTATAACATCCCGCAAGAATGAACGGGCGTGGATTGGACGTATGGAGCGGAAGAGCGCGGGTTTATTGTTTTGGCAAGCTTCGCCTCAGATCCGTACCTCGATCCCTTGCAATTGTCCGTGCTCACGCCACTTTTCCAACACTTCAACAAAATCTTCAATTCCCCGCCCCCAAAGCCCAGATCGCGCCATCAACATTTGCCTCTCGGGAGGCGCCCGATCGATTCCCCCTTCAGCATTGAAGTAGCCAGGAGTACAGCCGGCCGCAGCAGCCATTGGTACAGAGTGTATGAGCACTCGCATAGCCCAGTTCTCTGCAGCCTCAGCGGTGGGCGCTACTGCAAAGGCGCTATCGCCAGCAATGCGCGTTGCTTCTCTGTAGATGTATGCAGAGTGTTTTGCAAGCGAATCGACGGTGAAGAGGTAGTTTGGGCTATTCGACGATTGCCACAACCCACAAATGAAAAGGTTGGGAAAGTCGTGATCGAGTACCCCATGCTGAGTCGACGGTCCTTGTTGCCCCCACCTCTCGCTCATCGAGATACCATCGCAGCCGATGATAATTGCGTTGGCATTTTGAGCGGGAGACACCATGAAGGGAAGTCGAAAACCCGTAGCGCAGACAATGATATCAACAGGATAAGCCCGGCCGGCCACGACTATCGAATCGGAGGTAATGCGATCCGGTCCTTTGCCATCAGTGTCAATGAGCGTGACGTTGGGCCGATTGAATGTAGGCAGATATTCGTCGTGGAACGCAGGTCGCTTGCACCAGGTCGGATACCACGCTTGGAGCTTTTTGGCAACCAAGGGGTCCTTGACGGTTTCTTCTACTCTCCGGCGGATGCGCTCCTGTCGCGGTAGGTCCAGTGAGTGCAATTTCCCCATGTACTCTGGAAGATCTTCCATCGATTTCGGTCCAGCTTGGTTACCGGCAACAGCTACCATGCCGATGGCAGTTGTCCAGGCGTCATCAGCCATGTTGATTTCAGGTTGCTTGTCGGTAGTAAAGTGCTGATGAAAGTTTCTCAAACGCTCTCGCTGCCATCCTGTCGATGTAGCAACGCTCCGATAGAACCATTCCGAATCAGTCTCGCGCTGATCACGACGATCCACCCCGGAAGGAGTACGCTGGACAACATAAACATGTTCCGCCCATTGCGCGAGCTTCGGTATAATTTGGACCGCTGTCGCGCCAGTGCCAATGACAGCAACTCTCTTTCCTTCGAGCTTTGTCAAAGATGAATCCTCCGGTGAGCCACCAGTCAGGCCATAGTTCCAGCGGGCTGAGTGAAAGATTTTACCCTTGTAGTCCAAGATTCCCGGGATGCCTGGTAGCTTTGGCCAATTGAGTGCACCATTGACGGTAGCCACGAAACGCGCGCGGATACTCAGTGTCTGCGGTGCCTCATGCTTGCGCTGCTGCACGAGACTCACCAGCCATTCCTTTGCGCCCTCATCCCACACAAGTCTCTCGGCTTTGGTCTGCCAAACGGCGCTCTCGGCTAGACTCCACTTATTCGCAAGGAGCTCGGCATAAGTGCGTATCTCTTCGCCGGAAGAATAGCGATGTTTCGGTACATAGCCTGTCTCTTCCAGCAACGGGAGATAACTGTAGCTCTCGATGTCACAAAAAAGTCCAGGGTAGCGATTCCAGTACCATGTGCCACCGAACCCGGTCGCGGTGTCGATAATGCGAATATTGCCCGCGGGAATCCCAGCTTCAATCATGCGTATTCCATACAAGAGACCTCCTAAACCGGCACCCAGAATGAGGAATTGACACTGGCCTTCCGGAAACATCTCGGTGACCCTTTTAACTGGTGGCACACCACTCCACGGATCTTCCATGAATGAGCGGAATTTATCGGAGCGAGAGATGTCAATGAATTGATCATTGCCGTCGTCGCGGAGACGTTTCATTCGCTCTTCACTATAGCGCTGTTGGATCTGCGCTGCATTGTGGCCAGTTCGATCCTCGGCTTGAATGGCTTGAGTAGAAAGTGTCATCTCGGCCATGATTGAAGTGGTCTTCGTCAGGACAGCCCTCGCGGACTGTAAAGGTACAAGTTTATGGTGCGTAAAGAGTAGATTTGGTGGGTTGATAGATCACGAAAGTGAGAAGCCTGGAGTATGCGCGGCCTTGTTGGGTTACCACTTCTCTTCTCGAAGAATCCGCAGCTTAGAACCCTACACAAGCGTGATTGGTGGTAGTGCTTCGAAGTCCGAGACCATGCACTCAAGGGGCAACCTTTCTATTGGAAATTCTGGGCCTCATGCACGCATTACCATGTCTCAATGACTCCATGGTCTCTCATCCCTTTCTATGGAGGTTGAAGTAAGCGTCGGTCCGGGCGGCAGAGCCCCACACGTTAATGCATGGACTTCGAGTTTTCATTGGCTTCTGAATCCACGCGTGTGATTCGCAAGACGACGGTGAGTGGGAAAAAGAGGTTTCGATATTGCGGCGTAGTCCAGGTTTGGCTGGTATGCAGCCTTTTCGTCCCTGTCATTATTGCGGCGTAGTCCGACGCCCCGTATGGACTTCCTAGACTCATGCAAGGCGGTTTAAATATTAATAAATATTACAAAATAGATCAAACTAATTATAGCTGCAATTAAAGCTGGCCTCTCTTATTCATTTTTATATTGCGGCGTAGTTCAGCACGATAATGTTGTCACAATTTCCCGTACATTCCGTGGCATATTCTGTGCTAATGTGGCGCAAAAAATGCAACATAACCCGCATCTATTGTATGCAAAAATCGGGGCATTTCTTAGCGTACCTTAGATCTTTTTTTCCCCTACTAAAATTGTATAGGGTAATTAAATTTTAACAGAATTCTAGATATATTAACAAATTCTTTCTAGGAACATTGTTAGTAGGTTAAAGCCTTAAGTTTATATAGAGATACTATTTATAGCGCTTTTTTTTTAGAGTAATAAGACAATAATAGGCCTAATTAGAGGGCTAGAGCAGCCCTAGCCCCCTAGATAGATTAGATTAACCTAGAGAGCAACCTACTAGCCTATTCTACGCAGGCAAGGGCGCAGGGCCTGTTAGAGAAGCCTAAGGAGCCTGCTAGTAGTAATAAATAGAAGCTAGCGCGTTGTTAGTTAATCTAGTAATAAAAGCAAGTAAAAGAAGCTTACTGTATCTTAGCGCTTATAAAAAGCAAGCTTCCCTTTAAGAAAGTAGTAAAAGCTACTAAAAAATCTGCTCCTCCTGCTCTAGCACAGCAAGAAGCTGTTTCTGTGGGTCCTGTGCGTTGTCCTAAGCCTGATACGCTAGAGATGCTATAGGCGCAATACATTATAACCTAACGCGCTGTTACTCTTAAAAAAGTTAGTATACGCGCTCCTCTATGCAAACTAAAAGCTTTAACTTACCTAGGGCAGTTCTATTAGGTTTTTATTAATTATAGTAGATCCTGTTAAAATTTTAATCTTACATATAATTTTAGTAGGGGGAAAAAATTCCGGATGGCAGTGGCAAGAAATGCCCCGATTTTTGCATATAATAGATGTAGGGGCTGTCTGGACTCCTGTGGCACATCTGCCGCTAACTTCAAATCAAGAAAGTAACATATCATTGCTCCTGCCTCATCCTACTTACAATCACAAGCGATAACCATTTGATAGGGCAATCCGTCGGGTTTCAAATCAAGTGATAACCCAATGCGCACATGCGGCGTGCAGCAACTACATCAACACGCCTTCCAAGGTTGGATGCAGCATGGATCATCGGACTCCGAGACCGTACGAAGGAAGCGGCGCCTTGTCGTTCTTATCGTCCTCCGGTTGAGGTGATACGTCGTAATCGCAAGTTACGTGAATTGATCGATCTTTCCGAGGTAGAGATGGCCGATTCGGCGCTAACTCTATGACACGATCATCCGAAGGCTCAACACGATCGCCGTTGTTGAGGGAGTGCTGCGACTCGGATGATGAGTTCACACGCGTTGGCTTCGACGCCGACAGCTGAGTACGCGTGTAACCCCAGCAGGCCCTGAATAGCGGTGGAACGGAGGGCAAACAAGCAGCAATCATTACGAAATCATTCTCAATGCTGTTCCACAGTGCAATCTTGAGCGCTTTAGTATAAAGCTCCTATAGAGTTGGTTTGCCGAGAAGTGCGGTATTCGATGAGACCTTCACTACTGCGAAAGCAAAGGCGCTGCATTCCGTGAGGAGTTGTGTGAAGATCGGGAATCATTTACTCACGCTACACCCAAACCCATGAATCCCATCGTGCTGAGCCTTTTCCATAGCGGAAGCCGGAGATTCCAGATTACGAATCCTGGATAGACAGCAAATACAAGATCCAGGAAAGCCGATGAAGCTTTACACAGAGTCAGCACGATGCACTTGCTCAGACGAGGCACTTACAGCTTCCAAATAGAGAGTACCCGATCTGGACATTACGGGGCCAGCACTTGGTTTGTGGATACTTGTACGGGTCCCATTGCCCTGCAACAGGGTTGCATTGAACGAAACATATGACGAAGCCCACAATGCACAAGGCAAAGAGACCAATTGCCAGAGACATAATGGTTCTTCGTACCAAGGGCTCCGGTCGAAAGATGCGCACAAGAAGGAATGCTACGCCGACCTTAGGGAGGGTTACACTCAGAAATGCCCAGGAGTCTGTGAAGAGGCTCCAGAAGGTTGCGCTGGGTACGGTTTGGGGAAGAATATCAACACGGACTCGAGGGTTGAGCTGAGCGCAAGCTGGAATGTAACCATACGAACCACGTCAAACACCTGTATGAATTAGTGTCAATTCATCTCTCATAACCTCGAAGACACAAGTGGGCAGCCGACCCAAGAGATCTAAATGATCAGATCCTCCCATCCAAAAGGGGCTTCGGTAAAGAAGATACGTGAGACAGTCCGCATGCCAAAAATGACTGTAGCAATCGCGAAAAATGGCCATGATGCTGCTGTGGCTTGGTCGATAAATCGGTGGAGGCTCTGGAATTGGACATCCATTTTAGGGGGGAGGGGCGAGGTTGGATTAAGGAGCGAGAATTGAAGTGTGGAAGACAGAGGAGTTGGAAGAAAAGGCCTTGAGACGACTGTTGAGTTATAAGCACGAGTTATAAACAAAGCGTCAAGGACGATACAGTCGGCGCGCTAACACCGGGGAAGAACCATGGATAAACCTACTCCACAGACTCTCACCGAAATACCATCGCTGTAAAATAACGCTGAGAAGAGAAACCAGGTACCGGTCCAGTCCCCATTGCTCCCAGGAAATGCAGGTATTTAATTGCATACGTGCATTAACCTGTTACTCGATTGGTCTTGGCTACGCCGCAACGTATCGACAATGCTGCGCCGTAGCCCCCAAGGTATGAGTCCAACCCTTGCCCCGCGGCCAAATCTTCACAGTCGCCCCAATCAAGCCCAGATATAGGCGCCTGGATCTGCGGCCGGACAAGGTGCTGTGGCCACCTGCTCGCAGACAATCCTTGAGTGGCTGTCTGCACGATCCTACAAGACTGCCATACGTGACGAGCAATTCAAACAAGTTTTACTGCAAGGGCGATTGATAAGTCTGGCTCAATCAATTTTAGAACTCCAGTGGCCCAGGATGAACCTGGCGTGTCACTGCGTCAGTATCTATCAGCCGGACCGAGTTGCAACCCAAAACGTTGGTGTATCCCCCAGGGCTTCCAACGAGGCGTAGTACTGTACGATTGGGCGATTTTGAGGCCTGTACGGGTGAGATTTTGTGTACGTTCGTACGACAGGGAGGAGGAGAGGTAGGTGTACGTATCGTAACTGTTACGGCTCACGTGATCTGTACGAGTAGTACGATTCGATTAAAGTACGCCGTACTCTAGTTGAAACAGCTAAGACTATGGGTCTCTAGAGACGCAAGATTAAGGTCTAATTAACTATAAAATAACTAGTTCTCCCTAGTAACAAGAGCAGATAGGACTAGATGAGGCCTGTAAGGCGGCAAGAGGCGTGGATAGATAACTCTGGAATAGAAAATAGTCTGTAATAGGCATTTTTGAGACATCCGTACTACGTACCGTACCTAGGGCATCATTAATCGTACGGTACGGCTCACGAACTCGGTACGTTCGTACTGAACACGTGACCGTTACGGCTCACTTTGTACGGACCGTAGTACGGCCCGTTGGAAGCCCTGAGTATCCCCGTTCCGCCTCGCCACCATTCAAATATGTGAAATAAAAATGCCCGGTATCTTGTAATTAACCAGCAACGTCCAAAAAGCCTTCGGAAATCTGATTTTTCAGCCAGAAATGGAAGGCTTCGATGCCGCGACGCGCCTAGAAGACGTGCTCAGCACTTGCGCCAACAAAACTACTGGCGTCTATATCTACACGACAGAGAGTGCCCCGCCAAAATATCTGACCTATCGAGCCCTCCAGGATGAAGTAAACCTCAAAGCGAATCAGCTTCTGCACTACCACGGACTCACCAGGGGAGGGATCGTGTTGGTCCACTTCCACACCCATCGCGAGAACATGGTCTGGTTCTGGGCTACCTTATTCGCCGGATGCGTTCCGACGATGTCCACACCATTCGTTGGCAATCCAGAAGGCCGCGAATCTCACCTGGCCCACCTTCACAAATTGCTCCTCGATCCCCTTTTTGCCACCTCCCAGCAACTTTTGAGCGCCGAATTCTCCAAGAACAGTCTCCTACGATGTGTTACCGTTGAGCAGCTCGAGAAGAATTGCTCCGAACCCAAACTCATTCATGATAGCGGCTCAGAGGGACAAGTTTCTGAAGCTAAAGTGCTATTGGGCGGGGTTGCTGCACTCATGCTCACTTCTGGAAGTACGGGTGCAGCCAAAGCAGTTCCCCTGACCCACGAACAAATTCTGACTGCATGTTCCGGAAAGCTGAGGCACTTACCTCTAGCTACCGACGCGACCGTTCTCAATTGGGTTGGACTGGATCACGTGGGCAGCCTGACAGAGCTCCATTTGACTGCTTTGGTGGCGGGATGTGATCAAGTACATGTTCCTGCAACCGAGGTAATCGCGGATGCGCTGGTTCTGCTACGACTATTGTCCAAGCACAAAGTTTCACGAACATTTGCCCCCCATTTCTTGCTAGCACGGCTCGAAATGCTCCTGAGGGCCGAACCTCCGCCGAACACACGCGAAATTAACCTGCATGGCCTCCTCCACTTGATCTCTGGCGGCGAGCCTAACACTGTTGAGATTTGCGCGAGATTATCCGATCAACTCCAAAAGCTGGGAGCACCCAACAGGAACACAATCACACCCGGTTTTGGTATGACTGAAACGTGCGCCGGATCAATCTACAGTATTAACTGCCCTGATGTCGACATACAAGCTCAAACTGAATTCACTGCGCTGGGAACTTGTATACCTGGCATTGAAATGCGCGTCAGAGACTGCGGACTTGAAGTGAGGGGTCGGATCGTATTCCGAGGATACTTTAACAACCTCAATGCCACCCAAAAGGCCTTCACCGATGACGGTTGGTTCCGAACAGGCGACGCTGCCACAATCGACGCTTCCGGCACTCTCCGGCTTGTTGGACGATCGAAGGACTTGGTCATCGTTAACGGGGTAAAGCATGTACCACAAACGCTGGAGTCCGCTATCAACCAAGCAAACATCTCAGGCGTGGCCGCATCTGAGATAGTATGCTTCGCGCAGGGCTTCCAACGAGGCGTAGTACTGTACGATTGGGCGATTTTGAGGCCTGTACGGGTGAGATTTTGGGTACGTTCGTACGGCAGGGAGGAGGAGAGGTAGGTGTACGTATTGTAACTGTTACAGCTCACGTGATCTGTACAAGTAGTACAATTTAATTAAAGTACACTGTACTTTAGTTAAAACAGCTAAGATTATAAGTTTCTAGAGACACAAGATTAAGGTCTAATTAACTATAAAATAACTAATTCTTTTTAGTAATAAGAGCAGAGAGGTCTAAAAGCTTACTGCTTACTACCTTATACTATAGCTAGTTCTTTTAGTGTTAAATAGCCTTAATTATTACACTTTTTAGTAAGCCTTAATTATTAGTTACTATATAACTAGCTGCGCTAAAACACCTTTTACACTTATAACTAGTAGCTAGGATAGTAAGGAAATTAAGAGTAATCTTAAAAAGAATAAGATAAGCTGTTTTACCTTTAGTAAGCTACTATTATAGAGGTTCTTTATGTAGTAAGAGGTAATCTTTATAGTAATTAGCTTTTATAAAGTTATAGTAAAGCTATAGCTTATTTAACACTTTCTTACACTTATATAAGCTCTAATTTATTATAAGAAAGAAGTTAATAAAGTAGTAAGCTTTATAATTATTATTATAATAGTTACTACTTAGCAGCTTATAATGCCTAAAAGATAATAGCTTATTTTTAACTTCATGCTTATTTTTAGTATTTAAATACTAGTTAAAGATTATTTTTATTAACTTAGTTACTTTATCTACTTAGCTTTTATAATGCTGCTAGTAATCTTAAAACTAAAGTAAGCATAATTAAAAGTTAAAAATAGTAGTAACTATATAGTATAAAACTAGTAAATTAAGAATTAGTTTACTTTAGTAAGTAGTAAGCTTTTAATAGCTAAACTTAATAGTGTTTTTAAAGTATAAGTTACTTAGCTTATTAGTAGTAATTATTTTTATTTAATTAAAGTTAATTTAAAGGCACTAAAGCTTTATTATAGTTCTTTATAGTAAGCTAAATAAGCTTTAGCCCTTAAGTTTTTTTATTATTTAATAAAACTTTTTTAAAAAGTCTTTAAAGTGCTTAATTTTATTTTAATTATTTTTAGTAATAAAATTTACTAAAGTAATAAAGCTAGCTTATTAAGTTTTTTTATTAGTATTAAAAGAGCTTTTTTATTAGTATTAAAAGTAACTAATAACCTTTTTAAGCTTATAATAGTGTAATAGCATAAAGTAAACTAAGTGCTAGCATACTTTACTATTACACACTAGATTAAGTGTACTAAACTACTAAATTAAGTTTTTTTTTTATAATATTAATTTAAAAAGTCTTAAAAAGCCTTATATACTTATGTAATGCTAGTACACTATTTATAAAGTTATAGAGTTATCTAATAACTTTACACTTTCTATATAGCTGTGAGAGGTATCGAGCAGGAAACACAGGTCACAGAGAGGGAATGCAGGATAGGGGGGGTAACGAGAGTAAACCTTAGGGTCGGAGGCAGAGGTACGGAGGCCGAGGAGCCTATATACCCCGTGCCAAGCCCTTAGGGTACTCAGGG